GTGCCTGTAATCCCAGCTACTCAGGAGGCTGAGGCAGGAGAATTGCCTGAACCCAGGGGGTGGAGGTTGCGGTGAGCAGAGATGGCGCCATTGCACTCCAGCCTGGGTAACAAGAGCGAAAACTCCGTCCCCCAAAAAAAAAAAAAAAAAAGAGAAAGAAGAAGGATCAGATGTGTCACACCTACCAGCCTTTTGTTCCCTCTGTCTGGAATATGGTGTTCCCTCTATCTGTCTGGAACGTTTCCCCGCCTTTTCTCCACCTGGCCAACTCCACTCATCTTTCAGGAACAGATCAGTCTTGCATACAGATGCCTTCTCGACTTAACCCAGCTGTGCAGCCGTATGTGCTTGGGCTGCCATAACCAAAAATCTGGTTCTTACTCATCAGTTTACTTTTGACCTTTCCTGGCCCTCTTCCCTGACACCTTCCTCCTCCCATAGCTGGTTCCTTCCGATCCTTAGGATGTGGCTTTGAAGTCTTCTCTTCAAGAGGCCACTCCATCCCTTTCCCTGAATCCCTCTCACTTCCTCCACAGCTCTTACCACACTCAGTTTAAAGCTTTTTAAAATACCAGCTGTTTGTCCCACCAGCATGTAAACCTCACCAGAGGAAGTACAACATAACAGAAGCAGTAGAGGGTGGTGATTCAGAGGCCTACTGGCAAATCACGTAGGTCAAATCCTGGCTCTGTCACACACTGGTTGTGTCATTTGGGCAGGTGGCTGAGGCCCTTCACGCCTCAGTTTCCACAAATTGGGAATAACACCGCACTACCTCAAAGGGTTGTTAGGCAGATGGGATGAATCAACACAAGCTGATCATTACAAAGAGCCTGGCACCTCCCCTCTCTTGCTTCCTCTCCTGCCATGTAACCTCTGCACACACTGCACCTTCCACCATGAGTGGAAGCAGCCTGAGGCCTCACCAGAAGCAGATGTTGCCACCATGCTTGTACAGCCTGCAGAACTATGAGCGAAATAGAGCTCTTTCCCTTGTGAATTTCCCAGCCTCAGGTATTCCTTTTCAGCAACAAGAAACAGACAAAGACAGGGGACCTCTTGGTCTTTCAGGCTCCCGTAGCCGTGTGCGTGCGTGCGTGTGTGTGTGTGTGTGCACGTGCGTGTGCATGCACACAAATTTTTCCTGTCATAGCGTCCCATTTAGCATAAATGAGTTCCCTGTTAGGAAAGTGATTATAGACTCACATTCATAGTCATCCATTCAATACATATTTATTGAGGGAAGACAGTGTGCCAGACACCTGTGAGAGTTCTTAAGAGCTGGAAGAAATCCAGAATGGATTTCCTCCCATATACAACTCTGATCCACTGGTATTAGCTGCCAGGAGTCCTGGCTGTATTGAGAGGGATTCAGAGGACTTCTCAGAAGCGAAGTCTGTGACGAGCCATGCCCTAGAAGAGAAGGCATCCTCTCATCCTCTGCCGTTCCCTGCTCCACTCAACCGGCTCCACATGGCCCCATCATCGGCACACCACACACTGCCCACATGCAGCCTGCACACAAGACCACCCCTGCGAAGGGACTGGGAGCCCAGACTTCGGCAAAGTGCAGCGCCACTACAGGTGGGCTCATCTGGGCAGTGCTCACCCCCTCTTCTGTCTATGCAAACTGGGGGCAAGAGATGTGCCTCACACAACTGTCCTGAGGATCTAGGGTGAGCGACTGGAGCACCCAGGAAAGTTCTGGGGATTCTCTATCTCTCCACATCTCGCTCTGGTCTGTTTCTTCTCAATTTCCAACCAGAACATCCTGAGCGCCTCTCGCTTCTAGACCCTTGGCTGATCCACATTCCTCTGTTTGCTTTCTCTGCCAGCTTCCGCCCTGACCTTCCAGCTTCTGCTTCTCTGGATGAAATGCCTGCTCCTTCCTCCTGTCCTTCTTTCCCTTCTCCCTTCCATCCTCCTTCCCTCCCTCCTTCACTTCTTTCCTTTCTTCTCCTTCTCACCTTGCTTTTTTTCTCCCTCCCTTCCTCCAGGCTCTACCAGGTGCTGAGGAAATACTGGGAACAAGCCAAGTGGCCCCTGCCCCCTCAGCTGCAGCCCAGAGGGTACCAGCAGGTGGACAAAGACCTCACGGTGAGGCCCAGGAACACAGAGAGCAGGGGGCTGAAGCAGAGATGGGAGGGCTGCCCAGAGGAACAGGCACCCAACAAAACAAGACAGAAAAGGAGAGGGTTCCAGGCCGAAGGATCTGTGCGTGTAAGGGCTGGAATGTAACAGGCACAGGCTGTGTTCAGAGAACACAGGAACAGGAAACAATGCCGAGTTAGCCAGAGAATAGGTGAGGAGGGATGGGAAGGGGGCATACCTTCAACAAGGCTACAGGGCAAGCAAGGGCCCCACCTGCCACGTGGAGAGCTGGGGCTGTATCCTAAGACCCTGAAAGGACACTGCCTGATTCAAATCTCACTCCACCACTTAGCAGCTTTCTGACCTTGGGTGATTTTATTCATTTCTCTTATGATGGGTTTTTTCTTCCATAAAATAGGGCAATAGAGAGTAACGACTGCACCAAGTCATTGTGTAAACTAAGTGACATGATGTCTGACACACATCAAACACTGAGCAAGGGTTAACTTTTCTGCCAACCTGGACAAGAGAGTTACAGTGAAGAGAGGCAGGGGAGTTCCAGAAATACTCCGGATCAACACACCCTTCTCACAAATGAGCCCTTCTTGTGTATATATATATATATAGTCACTCTTGTTGCCCAGGCTGGAGTCCTCCACCTCCCGGGTTCAAGTGATTCTCCTGCCTTGGCCTCCAAAGTAGCTGGGATTATAGGCATGCACATGCACCACCATGCCAGGGTAATTTTGTATTTTTTAAGTAAAGACAGGGTTTCTCTATGTTGGTCTCAAACTCCTGATCTCAGCCTCCGAAAGTGCTGGGATTACAGGCGTGGGCCACCGCATTGCCTATATCTTAATCGGGACCTCACTCTGTGTCCAGCTCCTTTCCCTACAGCAAAGGATTGAGTCCTACCCCAGGATCCAAGACTCTGGGCTAACCCTGTACTGTCACTTACAAGGTATGCTGAAGGAGGGTGACTCACTGGGATCATGGGGGACCCAGGCTCTACCTGTGATGCAACTGAGGAGTCATCCTTCAAATATTCATTATGCTTATCCTGGTGGCCCTTCCTGTACCACACCCTGGGAACAAAATGGTGAACCAGACCAATCAATTCCCCCCACCCGCGAGGAGTCCTTGCTGGCTGGGAGACAGGAGAGGAATAGATTTAGAACAGGAAAAGGACAGGCAGTGAGAGGTGGTGAAGAGGAAATTAAAAGGGTGAGAAGAGAGTATGGGGACTCTCTGGCAGGGAATTCAGAGATGGTCTCGGCAGTGGCGCCGTTGGATTGGGACTGGGATGTGGGAATGGGCGAGCCATCCAAAGAGCTGGGAAAGGGCATTCCAGGTATCACAAGTGAATGGCCAGGTTCATGGCTCATGCCTGTAACCCCAGCACTTTGGGAGGCCGAGTCAGGTGGATCACCTGAAGTTAGGAGTTCAAGACCAGCCTGACCAACATGGTGACACCCCACTAAAAACTCCACTAAAACTCCACCAAAAATTAGCTGGGCATGGTGGCGCACATCTGTAATTCCAGCTGCTCAGGAGGCTGAGGCACGAGAATCACTTGAACCCAGGAAAGGGAGGCTGCAGTAAGCTGAGATCACACAACTGCACTCTAGCCTGGGCGACAAAACAAGACTCTGTCTCAAACAAAAAAAAAAAACCTCAGAGGTGGGAGACACAAAAGGGAGGCCAATGTGTCTGAAGAACTGTGAGCAGAGGGCAGGGCAGCGCCCAGGGAGGCAGGAGACAGGCGAACAAGTCCGCAAGGAGCACAGGCCAGGCAGCAGGATGGAGTTTCACACAGAGGGCGATGGGAAGCTAAGGGCTGAGGAAGGGGCAGAAATGATCACGGGGACAGAAATGAGTCACGAGGACAGAATGCGGGTTCTGTGAGGGCAGGATGTTGTTTTCTTCTCTCCTCAGCCCCTCAGTGAATTTTGGTAGAGGCCACTCTGACAGTTTGTGCAGAAAAGACGAGAAGGAACAGAGAGGTAGGCGCCAAAGAACCCCTGACGACATGCTCCCTCGGCCTGTCACCTAATGCATGCCATCAATACTCAAGCATGATTTCCCAAGACAGGCACGGTGGACAGCAGGAGGAACACTTTCAGAAGCTCGATAACTCACATGGACCAGACATCGATTTTGGGGCCATATTTCTTCCTGGCCAGCAGTTCGGGCGCGGCGTAGGCGGGGCTGCCACACTGTGTGCTGAACGGATCCGAGTAACCCAGGATCCCTGCGCAGTTGCTCAAACCAAAGTCTGCAAAGAGAGGAGAAGAAAAGCTCCGAATTAGAAAACTGCGGAAATGAAGAGGGGGAAAAAAAGGAAAAATAAAAAGGGCAGCAGGAAAGGAAACATTCTCTCAGGCTAACACATAATTTAGCATCTAAAGAAAAATGTAGCAGCTGCAAACCATAACCTCTGGATATGAGGCTCAAGGCGAAAGAATGTCAGGTGGTGGTTCTCTGGCTTAGCTGAGAGCACATGACATCGGGCCTCACTGTAAAAGCCAGCTAGAGCGAACGGCATGCTGCACTAAAACCTATTTCCATCCACTCTTGTAAATGAGTCATCCGGGGAAAAAAGAGAGAATTTGCTTTCTAGGACCAAGGCAGAAAGAAAGAACAGGCAGAGGGGATTGGAGGTAGCTTCCAAGCCGCCAACTGGGGAAAAGATGAAGGAAGATTGAAGGAAGATTGATTTTCCCTGTGTCACCCTCAGTGACATTGGATCCAGCCATTTACAGTTGACTTTTTCAGCTGAATGTTTTCGTTTCATGGAAGTCTTTTTTAAATTCCCCCAAAGACATGCAGCACATAGTGACTTGAAGAGGAGAAAAACATGCCCAGCAGTTCAGACAACCCTGAATGTTGGCTGGAAAAGTAGTACCAGAAAGATGGCAATGCAAACTAGACAGAGCGACCTCATGGCGCCGCTTTGTTCCTGGATGATTAAAATACCCAGGAAGAGGGGGGAGAAAGTGCAACGTATCTATAGACTTCAGGTCTACTATGCCTCCTGCCCCATGTTTATCTTTTGATCTTAAAGATACTGAAACTGACAGGTAATTAGAGAGCTGTTAGTGTTATGCCCTCATCTGAATCTTTCCCTAATCTTTTTTGATCTCAGAATTAAGACCACAGTTCATCCTTTGAACTTCAGTATAAATATTATGGTCCAACCCCCCTCAAACAGAAGACTCAGGCTGCAGGGCTCAGGCAGAGACAGGATTCCAGTTTTGAACAAGACTCGCAGTTTCTCAATCGGCAGTGTTATGTCTAGTTTCATGACTGTATTTTCACCTCACTCTAACATGTCTCCACCTGCCAGGCACATTACTGCAAGGAACGTTGTAGGAAATCTCAGGGGAGGAGGAATACAGTCCAGTCCGTGAAGTTAATTGCACACCATGGATCAAGATGTCACAGCCAAAAAGTTTTCCAAAAGTCATTGGGTTAAGCCTTTCTAAAGAGAATCCCATCTAAGCGGAGCTCAGAAAGCTCTTAAAGGCTCTAAATGTCACCCAAACACTCCAGCCCTAACTATAAGAGGGAACGGCGAACAAACCAACCAGGAATGCTGCATGTTCAAACACTGAACTTTTTTTTTTATGATTCCATTTTTCTCTCTTAACCTCTCTCCCTCTCTCCTCCTTGACTCCCCGACTCTTCACCCCAACCCTCCCCCTACACCCCATTTCCTTTCCCATCAACCCAGCCAGCACCCATAGACACCACAAACCCTGCCCAAGATAAGTCCTTCAGGAGAAGAAAAATCATATCATGCTTTAAATTGGAGGGTTGTTTGATTGCTTTCAGTTTGAAAATGAACCTAAAAGAATGTTAAGGAATAAACAAATGCATGAAGACCACCTACTGTGACAGACAGCACCATCAAATAAAGACAATAATAGTTCGGGAGCCCCAGTGTCCTCAGAGTCCTCGAAATTATCTCTAAATTTCTGAGATCAAAGCAAAAGACTCCGACTCCATTCCTAACCCCTAAAGGGCTGCCTCGCTCTGTTCTTCTTCACCTGGCCCGGACCAGAAAGAATGACTTGTTCTCAGAAGAGGGCAGAGAAAGAGAGATAAGAGGCCAGATCGCCCTTCACCATCCCAGGCAAGTTTGGGAACAGCCTGGCCTTATCTTGAGCAGTTTCAAGAACATAGCTTAGCGGAGGATTTGGGAGGTGGAGGAGATAGCATCTGCATGTTAGGAAACTTATGTTGATGGAGCCAAAAGGGTTTCATTTAAAACGCATTTGTAGAGAAACAACCAGTTTGCTTCACATTCATAAATATAATTATTAAAATTGTACACATCTGGCTATAATTGGAATTGTGGAACTAGAGAGAAGGCCACCTCCCAGCAATGTCACATGGGTCTGCCTCACTTAGATTTGGTAAATATATCAGCCAATGACCACCCAATTCTCTGAGAGCAGCAAAACCAACCCCACAAAACACCTGAGTTGAGCCCTGCTTTGGAATACTGAAGTGCAAAACTGTTCTAAGTTGCAGCTTTTCCATTTTAAGATTAAACCTACCAAACATCAGACCGCTTTTTTTGAAAGGGAAAAAAAAACATCCTAATTAAATCAAATCTTACTTCTGGTAATTCTAGTTAATGTGAAATGTGGCTTAAGTAGACTTATTTAAACCAAATTCTTTCAAAGAAAGAGAAACTATTAATAGGCAATCATAATAGCTATAATCACCTTTGAAACAACAAGTAGGTAATGCCTTTGAAGAAAAGAAGGTTCAAAGAGCTTTCAAGTCACAAAAAGACAGAAGTTGGAAGATCTTTGATCCAAATTGCCCAAGCCAGGGGCAAGAAACCTCACAAGACACTGACTGGGCCTTCATCTCTCTAAGTGAGTGAGGAAATGCGTTCTTTCTTAACAGAATGCAGTTAATCCACCAGCCCTCGGGGTAGGTGTGAGGTAGGGCTCTCTCTGGGGCAGGTGTGAGGTAGGGCTTCTTAGTTTTCACTGGTCAGGAGAGAACTGGCAACCAAATTGGCGAAGTTAACAAAGGGAAATCCAACAATCACTGCCTCTTTTCAAGCAGGTGCAGGCAGCCTGCTTTCTGAGGGGCCCAATTTTGTCCCAAAGACCTGAAATGTCTTTGTAGTGCCCATCCAGGCACTGCTAGCAGAGGCAATGATTCTGAGGGACTTGAATAAAACGGTTCCTGGCACCCAAAGAGTGACCATCACACACAGCAAGAGGGGAGGGACGGGCTCTGCTTTACGTGTATAATTTCCTCACCTGACTTTGACAGGTCTCCTCTAAGAGGTTTGAGTATTCAACCAATCTGTGAGCTCCTTATAAATGCATCCACTGACTGCAGCACTGATGATTGGTTTTTCTAGAATCCCCTGAGCAAACATCCAACCAATAAAAAGGTCTGTGCATTTTACCATTGCTTATTCCACAAGACATTTCTGTCAGTGGTCACCTAGGGTAATCACTTAAGGAGAAAACAGAGAGACCAAGCACAGAGGAGACAGAGGCGCAAGAGGGAAGGGAAGAAACAGGATGGGCAATGCCCAGCTGAGATGTAGAAACTCTGTCTGCAACCTTACATGACTCACCAGCCTCAGTCTGCAAGCCGCCCTGTGGAAGTGAATTCTTCTAACACTTTTTATTTTGGAGTCTGGCTCTGTCACCCAGGCTGGAGTGCAGTGGCACAATCTTGGCTCACTGCAACCTTCACCTCCTGGGTTTTAAGAGATTCTCTTGCCTCAGACTCCTGTGTAGATGGGATTGCAGGCATGCGCCACCAGATACAGGTGGCTATTTTTTGTATTTTTAGTAGAGACAGGGTTTTACCATGTTGGCCAGGCTGGTCTCGAACTCCCGACCTCAGGTGATCCACGTGCCTCAGCCTCCCAAAGTGCTGGGATTACAGGCATGAGCCACCACTCCTGGCCTATTCTAACTTCTACTGCCATATAGATACCACTGTTATAAAGCCTGTTCTCTTACAGTCTCTGCTGCTGTTAGGACAACGCTGTCACTGTCACCTCCATATTTTCCAAAGAACAGTTCCAGGGGTCAGCCTGCCAGGGAACCTAAAACAAAAAACTCTTTTCCTCTATTCCTTACCCCATCAGGAAGCCCCTTTGTTTAACACTCAGGATGCCAGAAATGAGGACCAGAGAGATATACTGCAAGCATTTCAACACAAGCGCCTTGTTTTCCAGCTTCTGCACTTGGCTCTCAAGACAACTAAAACGCAACAGTAAAACAATTTAACAAAAAGAAAATTGGCCTGGTGCAGTGGCTCACACCTGTGATCCCAACACTTTGGAAGGCTGAGGTGGGCAGATCATCTAAAGTCAGGAGTTTGAGACCAGCCTGGCCAACATGGCGAAACCCTGTCTCTACTAAAAATACAAAAATTAGGAGGGTGTGGTGGTGCACACCTATAATCCCAGCTACTCGGGAGGCTGAGACAGGAGAATTGCTTGAACCTGGGAGACAGAGGCTGCAGTGAGCTAAGATTGCACCACTGCACTCCAGCCTGGGCAACAGAGCAAGATTCTGTCTCATAAAAAAAGAAAAAGAAAATCCTTTGAATTATCTAAGAATCTTCTAAGAATAGATTCTTCTAAGGGCTTTTGGGGGAAAATTGGTTTCCCCTTCACAGTTAATTTTCGAATAGGTGTATCCATCAACACCTATCAGTGGTGTTTAACATCCAGAGTCTATGCAGCCTCTTGCCTGGTACTGAATTGGGAGCTGACTGTAATTCTAAAATATCTAATAAGTCATTTTAAGGATGTTTTCTGGAGAATCTTGTAATGACTTTCAACATTTGCCAAACAAAAGTTCCTTCTTGGGTACAAAAGTTAAATTCACAAAGTCCTATTGGTCCCTCTTTTTTCCCCTCATATAAAGTCTTTCCAAGTCATTGAGGTGTAAGAAATTACTTGCATTTGAGGTGGGAAAAAAAGAGAGAGGAATAAAAGACAGTGCCATCTAATATCTGGATATAAAAATGATGCCCAGAGCAACCATAGAAGGAGACAATAACAACAACATAACCACCTGAATTCTTGTAGAAAATGAGTCATATTGAATTCGCTATGGACCCTGAATTATGAACCAATTATGATAGTCCATCTTGTAGCTTCCTTCTGATTGGTTCAGATTTCTAATTATCTCTGTGGGGACCTCTCTGCACAGCTCCCACTGTACCAACAAGCATGAATAAAGATTACATTGAAAGGAAAAGGTCAATTGTGCTCCCCCTTATTTTAGGCATCCCTGTATTCACTGAGAAGCAGAATAAGACATGGCAAAGCTATGAGAAGCATTTCTAAGCCAAACTATCTTTCACTGTCTTTAAGGAGTTTTCTGGAAGGGGTCAGTGGCTCACGCCTGTAATCTCAACACTTTGGGAGGCCGAGGCAGGCGGATCACCTGAGGTTGGGAGTTCAAGACCAGCCTAACCAACATGGAGAAACCCCGTCTCTACTAAAAATACAAAATTACAAAATTACCCGGGCATGGTGGAGCATGCCTGTAATCCCAGCTACTCAGGAGGCTGAGGCAGGAGAATCACTTGAACCCAGGAGGCAGAGTTTGCAGTGAGCTGAGATCACGCCATTGCACTCCAGCCTGGGCAACAAGAGCAAAACTCTGTCTCCTGAAAAAAAAAAAAAAAAAAAAAAACTTTCCGGTTAATCCAAATAAAAATAAACTCTACAAAACTACAAAAGGTCAGCTCCATTTGAATTTATGGAGAAGGTATCGTTTGAATAAGACAAGGAAACACATGACCAAGATATATTTATTTGGTGGCTGTGAAATCCATTTCTTGGCTGAGTTATAGTATTTTTACCCTCCTAATTAGGTTCACATTATTATTAAAATTAAATTTTAAAGCTATTATTTAAATTAATTTTCATCTAAAAACCATTATTAAATATTAGAGGTAAAAGAAGACAATCTAGAATATGGTCTGCGTATTAGAGGAAGGCCATGGATAATTTTCAAAGCTGAGAACTGACAACATAACACTTAAAAGATAATTTTGCTTTAAAAAAAGAAGTCATACCAATCAGCTTGATATTATTGTCTTCATCTAGTAGCAAATTCTCTATCTTCAAGTCTCTGAAATAAACAAAATCACACAACATTTCAGATAAGCATTCGAAATAATAGGATTACATTTTGCTTCTGAAGGGAAATGGACCAGTTTTAGAGCCACTTCTAACCCACCCATAAAGCTTTCTGCCAAAACTCAATCAACAAGTAAATATTTTAGACATGAAATATTAATAATTAATTGCTGTAGACTATAAACGCTGAAGAATTTTAGAGATGACAGAGAGCAAAGAGGGCAGAAGGGATCATGAAAAGCTTCCGGAAAAAGCAAGACCTAAACTGGAACCTGGAAGTTAAGCAGAACCATTGTGTGTCGAGAGTGAAATACATCATTCAAGATGGCGCTGCCTGAGTGGCAGGGAAATTGTCCATACGAATGTGGCCCTGGGTTGGTGACACTGTGAGCAACACCAGATTTGGGGAAGCAATTAAACAAAAAACAAAACAAGTGAAAGCCAACTTAACTGATGAGTCCAGTGACCTCCATGTTTCCAGCTCAAGGATCATGACAAACTGGCAGGTGAGGCTAAGTTCATCTATTCAGCAGGCAGATATTATCATGGGCAGAATAATGGACTCCAAAGATGTCGGTGTCCTAATTCCTGGTGTCGCGCCCAAGAATATGTTAACTTTACAGAGCTAAAGGGAGGTCCAGATGGGATGAAGATTGCTAATCAGGTAATGGGCGATACCACCACGGATTGACACTGAGGTGATGGGACGAGGTGGTAGGGAGAAGTGAGCCCAGGGTCATGCTGAGTGTGAGGTGCCTGTGGTGACCGCACCTGCGACCATAAGCTCCTGGAAGGCAGGAAGCATGTCTGCCCTGCTTCCCACTGTACCCCAGTACCTCTGCACATTCCAGGTACTCAGTAAATACCAATGAATCCAGGTTACCAACGAGATCATTTGAGATTTCAGAAGCAGACGTATTTATGTGGGCAAAAGGATATATTTGGATCAAAACCATCTAGGTCAATGATTATCAGCTCTGGAATCTTAAATTGTAGCCTGCCAGCCCAGACATACCTTGAATGTGAACTATGTAAGAATACTCACACTCCACACACACACACACACACACACACACACACACACACACAGAGAGAGAGAGAGAGAGAGGGAATGAGACATGCTCTCTCCTGTTGTTTTTAAACATGCCATTCTTGGTCCAGCTTTTATTTTCTCACTTTTGAATAAGAGAAATGTTTCATGTTCCTCTTATCTCTATTGTAAGGAACTGAATGGTGTCATCATGTTAAAACAAAAACGGTAACTGATATAGTCAATGTCCAAACAAAAAGGCGCGGCATTCAGGACTGGCTGTGGCAAACAGGACAGCAGTGCCTCACTTAACAGGGACAGCTGCTCCCAGCTCTGTACCAGTGCTGCCAGCTCACCTCATTCGACAAAAGAAGCCAGAGTTCCGGATGTGATCTCAATGTTTAAATGTTGGCAACAAACTCATATTTCAAACAACCATAAGCCCCATCTTACAGGCAAGATATGACCTGCAGGCTACCAGTTTTCAACCTCAATATGGGTGGAAGCTGAAGCCTTGAAGGGACATGAGGTCATCAAGGAGAAGGCAGAGAACTAGGGGGAAAGACCAGCAGGCTGGCGGGGAACACTGGTATTCACAGCAAATTGGGAGAGCCGCTGCAGGGGTGGGCAGGGGGAATGTCAGCCAGGCTGTAGCCACAGGAACCACCAAGGCAGCATTTCAAGATGTTAAGAATTAAGGAGTCAAGGCCTGGCGCAGTGGCTAACGCCTGTTATCCCAGCACTTTGGGAGGCCAAGACGGGCGGATCACAAGGTCAAGAGATTGAGACCATTCTGTCCAACATGGAGAAACCCCATCTTTACTAAAAATACAAAAATTAACAGGGCGTGGTGATACAAAAATTAGCAAGGCATAAGTGGTGCACACCTGTAGTCCCAGCTACTCGGGAGGCTGAGGCAGGAGAATTGCTTGAACCCGGTAGGCGGAGGTTGCAGTGATCAAGATCGCACCACTGCACTCCAGCCCAGCAACAGAGCGACACTTCGTCTCCAAAAAAAAAAAAAAAGGAATTAAGGAATCAAATGCAGAAAAAAGGGTGAGCTCTAAAAAGTGTCCAACAGATTCGAAGTTGCCAATAGCCTTAGGGCTGGGCGCTGGCTGAGAAGGGAGATATGTGTTCAAACTGGGGATATAAACAGACATTCCCCATTCCAGTGCTCCCACAAACAGGAAGAAGAATCGTATATTCTCCCTTCACTCCAAATGAAACAATGCACAGAATACTTCAAAACTGTGTCTGACTTTTAAAGATATCATACATGTCCAAATACAGGGTGACGCCAAATATAAGGTAACATCCTTGCTTTTCCAATAGGAAGACCTTGTCCCGCAGTGAGAGGTTTTTGGAAAACACAAAGGTATAATTTTTAGGAATGCGATATAATTATTAGATGACTATTTATACTACTTATCTTCGAAGCTGCATCATCCTATTTAAGAACATATATTAAAATGTTAACATAGTTTTAATTTAAGAACTACTGTTTCCATGCTCACATTTCATGAAACAATTTTATTCAAACTCATCACACCAGACTTTTTGAGTCATTGTGCAGTGTTTCAATGTAACATGATCTTTCAGGTGACTGGATATTTGAGATAAAACATTTTTAAAATTTGCATGTATTTGCTGGAAATCTTATTCCAAATCATACGCACTCTTTAAAAATCTCCGCAAATTAATCACTCAGTGAACTGTTTTGAGACTGGTCTCTCAAACTATCACAATCATGAGGTCATACCTCTAGAAGTTATTATTACTATTATTATTATTATTATTATTATTTTGAGACGGAGTTTCACTCTTGTTGCCCAGACTGGAGTGCAATGGCACAATCAGTTCACCATAGCCTCCGCTTCCTGGGTTCAAGCAATTCTCCTGCCTCAACCTCTCAAATAGCTGGGATTACAGGCTTGTGCCACCACGCCTGGCTAATTTTCTTGTATTTTTAATAGAGACAGGGTCTCTCCATTTTGGTCAGGTTCGTCTCAAACTCCTGACCTCAGGTGATCTGCCTCCCAAAGTGCTGGGATTACAGGCGTGAGCCAGCGCATCCGGCAATAAGTTATTATTAAAGCCACGTAAAATGCTTTCGCCTTCCTTCCTTCCTGCTGGGTTCCTCAAGTGATTTCTAGGGCACCCAAATTCATCAGTAAGCCAAATCAAGGTTTATGTGTCTTCTCCAACTAGTATTTTGTTATTGAAAATAAAATACTATAATTGAAATTGTGTCCCCTATAACATGAGAGATTTGCAAGGACTCTGTGAGGCACTTCCTCTTTTCTGAAGATAATGAAGACATACTATCAGCTTGACTTCTATCCAAGCGTATACGGTAATTCTAACACACACATGTGCACACATAAAATAGTATGCCAGCAATATTCCAAACTGTCATTCCGTGAACCCTGATTATAAACAGCAGCACTATCTAAATCTAAAGGAAGGCTACAGTTTGTTTCAAATGAAATTAAGCCTCTTTGCCTGGGAAAAATGCGAAAGCATTAAAGAAGAAATTTGGTTCAGAACAAATACTGTGGTGAAAAAGATCCTAAAGAGGCAAGGTAAAAGACAGCAATTGCCAAGAGCAATAATACTAAGCTGGGTAATTCTGGGGCCACAAAAGCCTAGAGAACAACCACAATGATTAGAAGAATGATATAAATGAAAGACCAAAAATAAGAGAAAATGCAAAAGAAAAAATACACGCTTTTAAAATCTAAGAAATGTCCTAAAACCGGGGAGGACATATTAAATGTAATAATTAGGCAAACTGAGAAAAAATAAAATCAGCTCAAAGTCACTATCTTTCCACTCATAGTCATCCACAGCATCCCATTATAACCGGCTCCCATCCCCTAAGAAAAATGCACAGAACAAACCTGGATAACCTGGGTTATTTGTCCAGATTTCTAAAAGATTTCAGTGACAACCAATCCAACTGCCTAAAGGTTCCACACTAGTTAATGGAAAGGTGGGCTGGTATATCGGTGCTGCGCATTGTTCCCGAGACCCTGTCCAAGAGATCAGTGTGCTTACTCCCCCAAAACAAAGGAACATTCAATAGCCTTTGACTTTATTCATGTCCACTTCCTGCTTTGTCCTTTGTAACTTATCCAGAAGGAAGAGGGATACTTTCCTCCTGACTTTAGGAAAAAAGGCACTAAAATCTCATTTTTTAAATAGTTTTACCTAGGTATTTCCCCAAATGAATGGAAAACTTATGGACATAAATGTTTACAGAAGTTTCAATCATGCTTTCCCCAAACTGGAAGCACCCAAGACGCCCTTCAGTAGGAGAATGGATGAACAAACTCTGGTACATCCAAACAATGACATATTCAGTAATAAAAAGAAATAAGTAATCCCAGCACTTTGGGAGGCTGAGGCGGGCAGATCACCTAAGGTCAGGAGTTCAAGACCAGCCTGGTCAACATGGTGAAACCCTGTCTCTACTAAAAATACAAAAATTAGCCGGGTGTGGTGACAGGCACCTGTAGTCTCAGCTAAAGGCTGGGGAGGCTGAGGCAGGAGAATCACTTGAACCTGGGAGGTGGAGGTTGCAGTGAGCCGAGATGGTGACACTGCACTCCAGCCTGGGGGATAGGGTGAGACTCTGTATAAAAAAAAAGAAGGCAGCGCAGGAAGATGGGCAGGTAAGGACAGTGCTGGGGGTGAGGACGCAGAGGTCCAGGGGGTGCCTTGGGAACAACGCGCAGCACTGATATACCAACCAGAAGCCACGTGAAGCAGGAGCAGGGAGCCCAGCAGAGAAGCGGCCACCAGAGGGATGGCGGTTCGGACTCAGAAGGCATCGGGACTCTTCTCTGCTCATTAGGCAGTTCCAGGGAGAAATGCTCAAATGGGACCCATCACACCAGACAGACCAGATGTTGAGATGTGTGCAGGGTGTTTTTACAGAGATCCGGAAAGCACCTACG